GTTGAGAGCCAACACAGGTCCCCTGTAGGCCACTCAAGTCAAGGGCTGACAGACATCTTTGGTAGCTCAGAGCCCTGAACTTGTCCTGTGTCTGACATGACTCATACTAAATCGTGTTAGCCTTATACTAGGCAGCTCATCTCACTTGATTCTGGGACATTAACACTGTACCTGCCAGTGGGAGCCATCCCATCCCCAGGTGCTCCTGCTGGAACTGGGGCCAAACAGAGTCCCAGAGCTCCTTGGGGTACTTGGTGACTCTAGGAGTGAGGTGGAGGTGGGAGGCATGGGAAGGGGGTATAGAGGGTCAATTGGGCACCCAGAAGGGAAGAAATAGTGACCAGGTCCCCTTCTGACCTGTCCAGGCCTGGGACACCCCTCCTTGATGGTTCAGCTGGCCCTGACCAGTCTTAGCCACTAGACAGGACTTAGAAAATTTTGAGGAAGGCATCTCTGGTGAACAGGTCCATATTTGGGGCACCCTGGCTGGACAACCACCAGTAGGGGCTCAGGACCCAAGGTCCAGGGCCCAAGTCAGGGACTGACTTGGGTCTAATGATCAGACTGATGTCAAATACATGTTCTTGGAGATGGTCCAGACTGGAGATCTAAATCTGGGAGCCATTAAGATTCTGAAAATGGCTTTACGGAAGAAGGAAGAAGTTCTGAGGCTTCCCAAACTCCACCACCTTAATAAAATGTGAGAAGGCGGTTCTCTCCCTTCCTAGGTAGATGAAAAACTCTGGACAAGAATTATTGGCTTGATGGTTTCTAGAACTTCCATAGCATATACAAACCTTCAAAGAACTCCAAGTCCTGAAAACAGAAACGGTTCATAATATGAAAAACCACAGACCCAAGTCTCCCTAGGAAGCTGTACCTGTGGAGAGGAATGACGTTTTTCATTTCCCAGTGCCAGGCCGAGTCTAGGCTAATAACATTTTCCCTGCCCTCTGAACAGTGTTATTTGTTTTAGTCTGCTGTCTGTGTAGTTAGGGGAATAATTAATTAACAGTTAAGTCTGCTGGAAACATACCACCAAGTGGCACTCGGTAAATATTTGTTCACAATGATGAGGCTATTGCTTATCTATACCATTAAATTAGAAACAGAAAATTGTGGAGTTTTTCTCAGCAAGGTGTTAGAGATTTGACATCATATAGATGAGAAAATTGAAGGTCAGAGAACGATGTGATTTATCCAATGGTTGTAACACTACAGTAGGGGCCAGGCAAGCCTTGCACCCCAAATTCCTGATTCTAAATTTATTCATTGCTTTTTTCTGCTACATTGCACTAGTGTTTGTGGAAAATGGCTGAGTTCCACTAAGCAAATTCATATGTTGAGACATTAACCTTTACAAAGAACAGTAAAATCTCATTAAGTCAGAATAATTGGAAGAATGGCCAGGATGAATCGGCGGGCGGGGGGGGGGGAGTTTGAACTATTTTCAGAGATACTCAGCTTTTTCCTTTCAAGGCCATGGAGTAAATTGGAACAAATAACCACAAAATGAGGCCGAGTAGGGGTCTCACTGAACTTGTGTGAAGGAATAAAGAGGAATAATTCATAAGTGGTATATTAACAGTTTGCATGTAAGTGACAACTACTAAAAATATTATAGGCATTTGGAGAAATAGATTTTTGTTAAAAATAAGCTTAATGTTTCCCTTGAAAACTCCTTGCAAAAATTTACATAAGGACTTCAACGAATATGTCAGTCAAACCATGTGTTAAAATGATCATGCCTTTGATTTAGTGGCATGTAAATTAACCTGTTTGGTTTTGCTGTACTCAAATTGGCATTATTTCTATAGCTCACAGCAGCACGAATGATGACCGCTTCTCTCCCTTTCCATCCCTTTGATTTTTCCATCTGTCCAAGGCCAACAGAATGCCTCTAGCTGCTCGAAAACTGGAGGCGTTTTCTATCTACTCCTTTCCCTGCCCACACTTTTCACCAAGTGACCCTCCCCTTCCTGCCACCATCTGTGAGAAGTCTTCATATTTGGCTGTCTGTCAGGTTTTCCGTCCACACACTAACATTAAGTTCTTCCTGAAGATGTTTAGAAATGCTGGGCCTTGCTGTCTCTAACTCTGCTGTTTAGCCGAACTGTCAGACATACTACTCCTGAAGCAGTTGGTAGGCATCTTCTGTTTTTCTCTCTTCAGACTGACTTCTCCTTCCTTTATTGTGCAAGAATTAGGGTTGTCTACCTGGCAGGTAACACATAAAGGCTCCACACTGGGCAAGGGATGTTATCCACTGACAGGAGGCTATTTGGGAAAACAGTCTGTATAATGCTCTCAGCCAAGCTCCGTGTTCAAAGCTGGGGGAAAAGGAAGATCTCTGGGGAAAATGGGCACATATAAGGCTTTCTTTGCTGGGTGAGTTGTTCTGGATGGGGTTCAAAGATCCATGTATCTTAGGAAAAAACTGACCAAAACGGAAAGGAGGGCTACAGATATTTCTGCCATTTGATGTTAGCTTCTTCTGATGAAACAGCTTAACGTCAAAGCAAAATAGAGCTCCTCAGGCTTTCCCCACTGGTGACCTGCTGCCCCCCTCTGGAGAAGTTGGAAACTGAAACTTTGGTTCCTTCCTGTCGGGTTCTGTCTCCGTTGTGGATCTGTATTCCCATGGCTTCCTTCGGAAAGTCTTTTGGCTTTGCTACAGTGTAAAGAAGCGCAGGGCCATACACTGCACACCATGTGTTTAGTGAATTTACACTGACTCTGAGTGATGCAAAGATTTTTATTTCCTGGCTGGAGGATGAACTCCTTAGTTTTGTGAACTATATGTCCCGGTCCCATTGTCCTTCTACCAACAATCCAAACTAAAACCATCTTTCTTGGCAGTCTGGGACTAGTAAGAAGTCATTTCTGACTTGGCGTCCTGCCTTAGGAATCTTGTCCTTAAATGGGAGAGTTTGGATCCCTGATCTCCAGGGTCCCTTTGGCTGATTCTATAAAAATACCTCTATCAGTGAGAAATGTATATTTAACTTGAAGAAACTCCTAGGTATTAAAAAAAAAAAAGCCTTTTATTGAACAAGATTTCTGGAAATAAATGCACTTGGTGGAATGGTTGAATTTCAAAAAAAATTCCAAAATAGAAAATCTGCCGCTAGGAGGCAGTGTTGTCATACAGTTTTAGTAAAGCACATCCAACATAGGTCTTTTGAGGGAAATATTTTTTAAATAGAAGGATATGAAAATGATTAAATCAAAGGACGTGAAAATGGTAGAAATATATCATGTTTTGTGTGGCAATAAAGTTCTGAAAAGAGTATTAAAGGGGCATCCATCTTACATAGTAATAGAACAGTAAGTTGAATAAAAGTTTCTATCATCTATGAATGAAATGAAATATTGAACCTGATTTGAGAGTGAGAAATGGTAGGTAGCACTTTGTAAAAAAAAAAAAAATAGCATTTACTCTCCTTTTATTGCTCCTCAGCCACATGCAGCCTCTGAAAGGCATGCCTCTTTGGCTCTATTTCTGTGCACTGGAGGATGAGGGGTGGATTACTAATTATCTTGGTAAGAAAATTCTAGAAATATCTTTCCCCTGAAATACTGCTGCCTTCTTTAAAACTCAAATACTTGCGAAGTAGGAAAGTTGAGATGAATAAACTGAGGCACAGAAATTTCATGTAAAACTTAAGTAAATTACAGAATGGAAATAAGAATCAAATACAAATAGCTGAAGAAATTAGTTTTGAAACAGCTAAACAAAGAACGAGTAGAAAGCATCATGTACTTTTTCTTTTTCAAGATTTTATTTATTTGACAGAGAGAGACACAGCGAGAGAGGGAACACAAGCAGGGGGAGTGGGAGAGGGAGAAGCAGGCTTCCTGCTGAGCAGGGAGCCCGATGTGGGGCTCGATCCCAGGACCCTGGGATCATGACCTGAGCCAAAAGCAGATGCTTAAGGACTGAGCCACCCAGGCACTGCAGCATCATGAACTCTTAATAAGAATAGCCATGTTTATGTTAATATCATCTTGGGGCTTGAGCTCTCATTGGAGACTAGATGTTATCAGGTAAAAATATCATAGTTCTCAATCTAGGAAACTTAAGAGTTTGGAGAATCCCTATTTTTTTTTTTTTTTTACTTTTTTTTTTTTTTAAGCTACCAAGGTAACACAAGCTCATTGTTCCTTGGCCTTACTGACTGAAAGCTTTTAGGTGGATCCAGTTTTGGGCGGGATGGAGAAAGCCTAGATACTGATGTCTTCTTTCCCCTCCCCATTGGTCTGTATGTTTCTTAGTGATGGTAATGGGTCAGGAAAGAGAGAACAACTCTGAGAGGATGACTCTGGTCTTTTGGTACTTACTGATGATGTCTCATATGATTGACTTTCTAAGAACAAACTTAAAGAAATAGCAAAGTCCCCGTATCTGAAGTGTTCCATGACAGTGTTTTTCAAACTGTTGGGTCATAAAATCAATTTTAAGGGTCTCAGCAGGCATGTTTTATCAGTGAGATAGGATGGAAAGGAATGGAATAGAAAATACCAAAATGGCTCACACATTTTATTTCAGTGGTCATATGGTACGTGTTTTACTGGGTTATTACATAACTTTTGTTTCTTACTAAGGGTCATGTTCAACAACTTGGAAGTCACTTTCCTATAGCACTCTATCTGTCTCTGTCATGTCAACTCACATCTCATCCTCCTTGCTAGCCTACAAACTAAAGTGGGAATGAATATCTGAATTATTTCTCATTGGCCACAGTGATTTCCCTAATACCTTATGTGTGGTATAGGGAACCTGTTTAAGATTTACTTCTTACTTATTTTGCTTCTAAGTAAATTTCTAAAATATACTTTTAAAATTGTCAAGTGCTATTTGTAGTTCTGTTTTGTTTAGCTACTACCAATTTTATATGTAGCCTGGCATTAACATAAGCATTACTTTTAAACCATCTTTTCCTTATTTTTGGGAACTGTGGCCCAAACATAGAAATCACTAAAAATGGGTTCCTTTGAGGCTACTGTGCAGATTTAAATTTCTGTTTTTCGAAGAGCTCTTTCAGCTGCTGCTCAGTTGTGGCTTCTTTCTGCTGCATCAGCTCAGCTGTTCCTTTGGTCACTCCCCAGGCGTCGGGCTTTGACATTGAAGGGTTGTATGGCCTGCCTGAGGCTATCCGAAGATTCTCCCAGTATTCCTTCCTGGCCCTGGGTGAACAAAACACACAACATTAGACTCCTTCCTGAGTATCAGAGTCTATGTGTCACTGGGCTAGAATACCTCTACAGAGCTGTCTTTGGACTCTTGAGAGGATATCCATTAAAACACATTTATTAATGGACTAAAGCTTTTTTTCAGGATCTATCGGTCTAAAATTATTTTGAAATTATTTTTTTAATTTAATTTTTATTTTTAATTATTTATGTATTTATTTTAGAGAGAGAGAGAGAGAGCATGAGCGGGAGGGGCAGAGGGAGAGGGAGAGAGACTCTCGAGCAGACTCCATGCTGAGCACAGAGCCTGATGTGGGCCTAGATCTCACCACCCTGAGATTACGATCTGAGCTGAAACCAAGAGTTGGATGCTTAACCGACTGTACCACCCAGGCACTCCTGAAATTATTTTTTTAAAATATCTGCATAGAG